TCTTGAATCCGAGTTTTGACGGAACGACCAGTTTCGCCAATATACACATGTCCACATGAACAAGGAATAGAATAAACACCACAGGAAGATAGGGGCGGTAATGGGTCCTTAGGAGAGGGTAGATATTGTGAGATTTTCTTGGGTGGTCGAAAAGTAGTACTGATACCTTCTTTGCGAAGAATTTTGCCAATCCTATCAGTGACACTTCGAATATACGGAAGAAAAGCCACAGGAGTATTACCCGAAGATTCTGAATTTGTCGTCCTAGTGTGTAAGGGGGGATGTAGATGTCGGTGTGTAATATTTTGAATTGTGGACTTGGAGTAACCGTTGGCGACAAGGATTTTTTGTAGATGGCCAAGTTCTTCTCTAAGGTTGTCAGGTTCAGAAATCGAAATGGCCCGATGGATGAGAGAGTTGATCACAGAATTCTTTTGGGCAGGATGGTGGTGTGATGAAGCATGTAGGTAACGATTCGTGTGAGTCTTTTTTCTATAAACAGAGTGACCCAATCGGCCATTGGGCTTGGAGGTGACTAACACATCAAGAAAGGGAAGGGACCGATTATTTTCTACTGCCATTGTGAATTTTATACTCGGATGTTCTGAGTTATGATGATCTAGGAAGGGAGAAAGGGTATGTTGACCATGGGGCCAGATGATAAATGTATCATCAACGTAGCGGAACCAGACTTTTGGTTTTAAGGGGTAAGACTTACTTAGGGAACACAAGGAAATGGAAAAGGGTTTAAAGAGTTTAAATAAGGAAGTTGGTAGTAACAATAAAATTAATGAAATAAAAGAAACCGGGAGAAAATGGGAGAACACATTTGGAAATAGGCATAAACAAAAAAAAAACAATGAAAAAAATGAAGCTGCTAACAGTATACAGAAATTTATGGATAAAATGATGAGACGAACTTCTAATAGGTGGGGATACAGAAATAATGACGTAGAACACAAGATAAGATAACATGTTCTCCATAATAAATGGATATATTTGTTACAACGAACCTGCAACACCCCTAGGACCTTTAATAAAAACATTTTATCTTGCTCTTCAAACCAGACATACACGTTTAAGACCTTAGACCTTTTTTTAGTCGAAGAAAGATATGATAGTCGAAGGGAGCCAGGTCTGGTGAATAAAGAAGGTGGAATAAGGACCAATTCGAACCCTACTTGACGAATGGGTTGTATAGTAACAAGGAATTCCCGTGTCTTGTCTTCATTATTGTTTTTCTAGAGTCTTCAGTAACATAGAAATAGTAATTCCCGTTTTTTGTTCTACCCTTATCCAGATTCTTTGACAATTCCATAAATCTTGAAACCTGAAACTTTTGAACATGAAAGTTTTTTGCCAGAGTTTCTCCATTCCATTGATGGCTGTTTTGTTTCTGGGATTCTAATGTTATGGTCACGCAATATTTTGTTTATCCACGGACCCAGTGCGGAATGGGACGTTTCGGCGTCGCCGTTTCGGCGTGGCCATTTCGGCGTGGCCGTTTGGGCGTAGAGCCGTTTCGGCGTAGGCCGTTTCGGCGTAGGCCGTTTCGGCGTCGGCCATTTCGGCGTCAGAAATTTTATTTTAGTTGACTAAATACCTACATTGAGGTTTATTGGTCAGGCAATTTTTTGGAAAAAAATCTTTTAATATAGTTATTTAAATACATTGGAGTTCATTGGTCACACAATTTTAACATTAATGGTCAAGTAGAAAAATAAACTAAATATATTTCTTTTATAAACATTTTGTTATATTTTATTCTGCAAATACCTATATTGGATTTTTTATTAATGCATATTAATAATAATTGCTGTTCTCTTAATTGTCCCAGAGCTAATTAGATGATAACTGACATTTTTCAACTTTAATTAGACATACATTATATGGTATATAGACGGAGAATTTTAATATTGTTAAAATATCTTTTTTAAGCAAAAATATTTGCAGAATGTATATTTTTAAAAAAAATTAAATTATACAATATTTTCTTGAAAGGAATCTGCTTTTAAAATATTTACCATTAGTTAGTATAATAATAGTTATCCCTATATTTATTGCAGTTTCTTCGAAAATTTAAATACAAAATTCTATAAATCACATAATAATGTTATTAACATTTCCTCGAAAACTAAATTACCTGTTAATTCCAAATGACATTATCATGTATCAATTAGTTGTTGATTTCAAAAATTACATTATAATGTCATTAACGAGAGATGCAAGTTATTTGTTGATTTTAAATATTCGAAAACTAAATTAGTTGTTGATTTCAAAAATTACATTATAATGTCATTAACGAGAGATGCAAGTAATTTGTTGATTTTTAATCTTAAGGGAAATTTTAAGTAGGTACCTACCTATTATTGATTTGATTGGTTGGATTATTGAGGGTACAGCTATATAAACAGAGATCAGTTTAAGAGTTTATGTAGTGTCTTATAATATTTCATAGTAGTATTTATACGATATACAGACGAAGAATTTTTAAGCTATGGAACGAAAAATTTTATCGACCAGAGGAAGAGAGAAATTTACCACTGATGGTTTCATGTATGTTTTTGACGCTGTTAGTAAAAGCGATGAATCCCTAAAATTTTGGAGGTGTGAGAGGAAACAAACGTGCAAAGCAAGAATACATACAAGAGATGGTGAAGTCATCAAGAAAGTAAATGTTCACACTCACGACTCCTCGGCGATGGACGTGGAAGTAGCACAAGTTGTTACAAAAATGAAAAAGCGTGCTACAGAAACAAACGAAGGGACAATAGTGGTAATCAATGAGTGCCTGAGAAATACAAGTCAAGCTTGTCATGGTCGGCTCCCAAACACTGGCGCGATGAGAAAATTCATCAGACGAAAACGTAACGAAGTTCATGCAGCCCCATCAAATCCGACAACTGTTGAAGAGTTAGTAATTCCCGAGTCTTATCGTGTTTACACGTTACAAGATGGTGTAGAAGAAAATTTTTTATTAGCAGATGATGGAGAAGGATTGCAAAGAATTTTGATTTTCGGGAGAGAATCGTGGCTGCAACATCTACAGACCTCAGATGTGTGGTATGGTGACGGTACATTTGCTATAGCACCATCTCTATTTTTACAAGTATACACAGTTATGGCCACAAAATATAATGGAGTCCATCCAATATTTTATGCCATGCTGCCGAATAAAACAAGATCCACATATACCCGTATGTTTGAATTGATCAGACAAATTGTACCAAATTTGCAACCCAGAGCAATCCATTGCGATTTCGAACAGGCGGCATTTAAGGCAATGGAAGATTGTTTTCCAGGCGTCGACATCAATGGATGTTTTTTCCATTTGGCACAAAATATGAAGAAACAAGTGGCTGCTATGGGATATACGAGAGAGTATAATGCTGATCCACAATTCGCTTTAAATTGCAGAATGTTGACAGCATTAGCATTTGTTCCTATCGAACATTTAGATGATGCCTTTGCCGTTCTAGCGGAAGCTCTACCTGCTGAACACCAACCACTTGTAGACTGGTTTGAAGACTACTATATTGGACGTATGAACAGAAGAGGAAATGGCAGAAGACCAAGTTTATTTCCCCAAAGGATGTGGAACCTCTACCAGAGAACTCTGGATGGAGAAGACCGGACAAATAATCACGCTGAGGCCGCCCATAGAAGACTCAAGATGGAATTGGGAGCAGATCATCCAACCATATGGAAATTTATAGATGGCCTGCGTCAGGTGCAGAAAGGTCGAGATGTCTATTTCGAGCAACTTGTGGCAGGTAATCTCCCACCATTGAAATTAAGAAAATACAGAGACGCAGATGATCGCATTTCACGGCTTGTGGGAAATTTTGATGCAAACGGGGATGTTTTAGAATTTTTAAGAGGACTAGCACATAATTATAATATGTAAGTAGGTACTTTATTTTAATTAATATTTCGTGAATAAGTTTTGTAGGTTAAATATAAATGTCTTGTATGTAAGTATAAATGTTTCAGAATTTTTAATTGGACTAGCACATATCTAATTATAACATGTAAATACTTTATTTTAATTAATATTTCGTGAATAAGTTTTGTAGGTTAAATATAAATGTTTTGTATGTAAATATAAATGTTTCAGGATTTTTAATTGGACTAGCACATATCTAATTATAACATGTAAATAATAACTAAAATAAAATATTCATTTTTCCAAAATCTTGTTTATTCATTTATTTATATATAATATCTACAGCTAGAAGCCAATTACAGATATTACATTAACTATGAGCTAAATAACAAGCACACACACATAAGTATAAAATTCACATATACAAATCTACCATTAATATTAAAATTTTGTGATCAATGGACTCCAATGTATCTATTTAAATAACTATATTAAAAGATTTTTTTCAAAATAATGTCTTACTAATAGACTCCAATGTAGGTATTTAGTCAACTAAAATAAAATCTCTGACGCCGAAATGGCCGACGCCGAAACGGCCTACGCCGAAACGGCTCTACGCCCAAACGGCCACGCCGAAATGGCCACGCCGAAACGGCGACGCCGAAATGTCCTAGACCCGACCCAGTGTAGGTTACCTAGACATCTATACACTCTCGTAGTGGCTGGAAAAGTATGTGTAGGTTTTCACGGCCGGTTTTTCGTACAGCTGATAAACCTTCACCTACGTTTTGCCTGTAACTGATACAGTAGCGGTGGAAGTTGTTTTTCGGGTAGCACCTAATCACCAAAGTAGCAGCTACAACTTTTTTTTGTATTTTATAGTCACCTGGGAGTCTGTTTGTCCAAAGCAACGAGTAATGATATTGTAGTTTGTTTCTGCTCCCAAGTTATAATATATTAATACAATTTTTGCTATATTTGCCATTTTTTACTTATTCACCACAGCTTGTGCGCATGCAAAATAATAGTAATTGACTGACATATCACGTGCATTTTGACAACATAAATGCTGTACATAATGCATGGACACATTTCTTCACTATATTTCCTTTAGGCCTACCCACTTACTATTTTTCTGTCAAATCTTACGAAGTGAAAGAGACAAAAATCAAATCTAATGAGCTTCGTGCAAATGGAACCTCAAATGGAGGAGAACATTACTACGATAACGTTGCATTTGTGGAGGAACTAACGGCGAATACGGAGACGATACCCAAAAAGAAAAAAGCTCCCGTTGTACCTACAGTTGTTGAAGATAAAATCGAAGATAAAATCATCGGAGAACTAGATGAAATGCTAGACGAAGTTGCGAAAGATCTCGAATTTGATCGGAAATCATCAGTTGGTAGTGTGTCTGTGTCCATGTCACGCGAAGAAAATGTTGTTGCAGATGTTCATTGTGATAACGTCCTTAACCCCGCTATTTCCATCCCTCCAGATCCAACGCTAGAGCGCCCAACTACCCTTGCACTAAAAACCATCGCTAAAGACGATTTAGAATCTGCGGAATTACAAAAGAATGCTGTAGAATTAAGAAGATCTAGTTCTGTGGATTCTCCAGCTCCTCCTGATACTCCTGTGTCTTTCAAGTCGGCAGTTGGGGATTCAGATGATGACCCGACTGCTAGTCCGGAACAAATCTCTCCAACACCTACTCCACCGCCTTCAGCGAATGTCTCTCCTCTTCCTACTCCTAAATTAGTGGAAACATTTACAGTTCCTCCACCACCACCAATCCCTATGCCAGAAATCTTACAAGAAAGCAAGAATAATACAGAGCAGGAAGCATTGCCGATGAATAATACAGAGCAAGAAGCATTGCCGAAGGATAAAGAGGAAAAAGAGAACAAACATAAGTCTACCCTACCGAGAATTACTTCAAACGACATTAAACGCATCACATTAAAGTCTACGGCGAAAAAAAGGGTAGAAATAGAAGACCAGTATAAGGCAGACGAACCAGACGATGATAACCTTAAAGTGGGATCCGACAAGGCTAAAACGTTTAAAGAAAAACTTTCGAACAAACTAGCAGCAGTGCCATTAACGCCGTTCTATATGATGCCTAGGAAAAAACACCCTGCTCCTCCTCCCCCTCAAGAGCACAAAAAGAACGAGAATGTTCTGGAGGAAAGCATCAACAAGGAACAAGCAAAAGAAAAACTTGGTCTCTTTGTTACATCTAGATTGAGCTGGTTAGAACCAGAAGGATCACCAGCAAGTGCACCAGCTAGTCCTAACGTGGAAATCGATTTACCATCTACTCCTAGCATTGAGATCCACGCTGATAGTAACGACGTCGATGAGCCAATAGTGGAAGCTGTCGATGAAGACTACATAGCACATCAGAACAGAATGAAGAACGTTTTTAGAAGCTTAAAAGTTGGAGAATTGACTAAAGAACCGAACAGTTCTGTGCGAAACGTTAAGTCTCTGGAACACAAAATCGACGACAAAGCCAAGCACAGACAAGCTATGTCGGATATTTTCAAAACCATCCAGTTAAGGAGGAAAGCAAGTGCCGCACAACAGTCGAAAGTATAGATTTGTTATTAAGAAACTGGAATATACAGGTTGGCTAATGTTTTTCCGAAGCACTGTTGAAGATCTGATTTATTAAAATGAAAATTGAAACAACAAAACAAGAGATTATCAAGATAGATCTGTTGCTGCAGGAAGATTGATGGTGGTAGCTCATCATTTACGCCACTGCTTGGAAAATGTATATAAAATAATCCAGATCCTTGTTCCTAATCGATTTTTGTGCTTTTTGCTTGATACCTGTGTTCGCTTTTTAAAAGTGCTGATTTTAATAAATTATAGAACAATTTTTGGGATTTATGACGGATATTTTGTTATTGCGGACTTACTGTGTCATTGACAGAGCTTTATTTCCAAATCTATTTCACCTAACAAACGTTACAACCTAACAATTTTTTCTTTGAGATTACTATTTTTTATTCTGTTCGGCTACTGTCGAATCTTTTATATTGTTAGATGGAAATACGCCCAGATGCAAAGCACAATACCAAATTTTCTATTTCTAAGTATTGAGAACGTCAGTATCATTTTACACTAACGAAAGACGAAAGATAATTAAGGAGCCTAGAAGCTAGAGGTTTAAGTTTAACTTTCTTTTTCCTGAAGTATAAGTAATCAGTTTCTGACTTGCTATCAAAAATGTTTCCTAGCTCTTCGGCATCTGGGGGAACAATAGCATTCTGGTTAACTTCGACAGGAACATTGTTAGGCCCATTAGAGTATTGTAAGGTGTTGAAGAAGTCGTGGTAGATAGAGGGAACGTATGGCAGAAGTGACTGTAAGTTGTCAAATTTAAGTTTCTTGATTTTTGGCTTGTGTCCTGTGGCTGCTAATATAGGGAGTTCGTTGAGAGGTCGATCAGCTTTTGAGGACTTCATGTTGGTCCTTAGTAGGGTTTTAGTAGTAGTCCCAAGTAAAACCTTACTTTAGGAAAAATGTACCATAACTGGTACATTTTTCCTAAAGTAAGGTTCTACTCAATCCAAAGACACAAAGTCATCATCCTCCATTTGCGCCACCATGAACTTCCTACTAGATTTCACTATGATATCGGCCTACATACTTGGTACATAAACCTGCTGATGGTTTCTGTTTTTCGCTTTTTCGATAATCCCGAAATCTTGGTCACATTCCATGAATGAATGTCCCACTACCAGAAACCTGTGGTCAACAATATCAATTTGTGTATATTGCCCTACATAATGCCAGAACTTTGCAATATAATGACTTTTGTTTTGACCTTCACAGTTGTCACTGTACAGAATTATGCGCTTAACGGTTGGTGGCAACGTCTGGATGTTTTGCCAAAGGCAGCAAGCAATTTCGTTGCAACCACGATTACCTTGGCCTTCATCTGTGCCCTTCCAGTTCAAACATTGTGCACACAAAAATTATAAGTCCCAACTTGTCTTTTGTAAATCAAATCATACAACTACTGTAGTTGGGTCAACTTTGTAATTCGATGCATCATCATCCTTTGCATTTTTTGCAGCTTGTGCCTTGCGCAAGTGTAATTCTTTTTCAATTTTTGCTGTTGCAACTCTTTCTGGACCATCACCATTATTAATAATATTCTGTAGTGTGTCACATTTGTCACATGTATCGGTGTGAGGTCTCTTGAGTGAAAGGTTAAAATTAGTACGGAAAATATACCTATAGTAACACTCCTTCGCAGGGTTTACGTTTCTTTCCATACAGAGTTCTACATACAAAGTGTAGATTTTTTTCATTGTCAGTGCCACGCTCAAATACTTCACATTTAGAGATATAATCGTAGAGTAAGGGCTACTGTACTTAGGAAGCGACTTTAAGTGCTCTTTGATTAAGTAAATGGTTTTATCTGTTGTTTTATTCGATGGTGCTTTAAGACCTCTTTGGTCCTAGTGAGAAACCGAGTTTGTGCTGGTAATTTTTAACATTAGTAATTCGTTTATTACTGATATCAAGGGTTTTCATAAAAAAAAGCCTTACATACCCTTCTAATGTGTAAGTACAGTTTGTTCTCTTCACATAGCTCCCATTAGGTTTTTTCTTGCAGGATCTTGAAGGCTAATGCAAGAACATAAAAAAGAAGTTTGAAGGTCGCAACTTCCAAGTCCCCAATAACTGTCAAAAATAGTTTGTCATTCCTTCCATACGCTTTCCTCGATGCACTGTGCCTTTTCGGTCAGTATAAAGTTACCCTTCATTTCAACAGTGTCGACAAGCGTGTACAACATTCAACAACAAACAACTCTGATGACAGTCAGTTGGAGGCCAAGGGGTACAAGGGCTTCTCTTGAAAATCTAAACAGCTGATTTACCATCCGCTAGATTGCAGCACTGTACAGTGATACGCTTGTATACCTTTGCCACAACAATATTTGACTCCATAGCAACTACTTAGTGCACTTAACTCCATTTTGTTTAAACTTGCACTTGTACCCCTTGGTTTCTAGGCTCCTCAATTTGACTTCTATGTAGACCATTAGATTATACAAATTTTTATTTGTGTAGATAAATATTTTATCTTTTGGAAAGGAAGTGTTATTAAAACGTCAAAGGCTATATATTTTAAAACACCAGAGCTTTTTCATAATTCTTACCATATTTTCCTAAGAGTACGACTTTAATCATGCCTCCTCTAACCATTGATAAAAATACGCCATTTAACTTATTTACTTACGTAAATTTCTTTCCTCTGGGCTATTCACCTATTCATGGTAGTAGTCACCGCCAATCAGTATTATAAAAACAAATATTTATTTGAAATAAACTTAGGGTAACATATACAACACTTTTTATAATATTTATTGAAATATTATTTACAAAATCAGCACTTTTAGTTAATTAATCACTCCTGATATTTTCCTCCTGTTGCTTTAGTACTGTCTTTAATGCTTAAAAATGACTATTTCAAAGTATTTTGGGATCGTAACCTAATTTTTTTGAGACCTCCGCTTTTTCTAACATACCATCTTGTTTTTCCAGTTTTTATGAGCAATAAGAATGTATTAGGCCTCTATCGGTATGTTAACCACTGCTGGTTAGTGTGTTTTTTTACCAAAAGTAACGATAGCTTTAAATACATTTTTATTGCAGTAAGGTACCATTGTCAGATAACAAAAAACAACAATTACACGATAACATGGTACTGTTTGAAAGTTAAGAATATCTTCGTCAAGATATTTGATATTAAAGCATATGTGTTTGATATTTAACATAGTATTGAGTGCCTTTCTTTCAAATTGGACAGACGGAGCACATTTTATATCGGCAATAGCGCTACAGTATGTCACTAACTTCATAGAGATCACTTGAAAAATATCAGCAATTTGTAGCGAAATGTTAAACGGAAAATAACATTTTTCAAGTATTAATTGTATTAAATATTTTGTGACGAACAAGTTTTAAAAAGCCTCCAAGAATACTCTACATTTTTATCGCATTATATTTTTCTGAATGCGCTTTCTCTTTCAGTCTACTAGTTTGCTTTCTATTATTTCTTCTCATCCCTCTACTTTTCTTAGACCTATTTTCTATCATCTCACTTCTCTTATGTGTATTTCCTACAGCATCTGCCGCTTCGTTTTCTGTCCATCCATTCGACTTCTTTGAAGGCTCCATCTCTCATTATGTGCCGTACATTTTCTTCCCAGGCAACTGAAGGTCTTTCGCTTCTTCTTCGTTGTTGTAGTATGTAATTTAAAGCTTTGTTGGGCCATCTATCTTCATTAATTCGGTTCACGTGACCATACCACACTAGTTGTCTCGTTTCAATTCTGTTTATACTGGAATATACAATATTTGTCCTCCTTATAATATCTTCATTCCTGTATGATCTTTTTTTGATACACTACACGCTCTTCTTAGAAAATCCATTTCTACTACGTCTATTATTTTTATATCTTTCTTCGTGGTCCGCCAAACTTCATAATAGGCTCTACCAAGGTTTCATAGATTATCAATTTCGTTTCTTGTCTACTATCTTTACACAATAGTAGAGAGTTTAGAATGTTCACCGCTTTTTTTCCCTGCTGCGTTCTGTTTTCAATGTCTTTTTGATAGTGCCTTCTTTAGATATTATAGATCCGAGATATTTATATTGATTGCATATTCTTGTGTTGATTATTTCTAAATCTGGATCTTCTTCATCATCTCCTATTTTAAGATACTCTGTCTTTGACATATTCATATTGAGGCCCCATTGTTCATATTCTTTCTTTAGTTTTCTGAACACGTCCATGTCTTCCTCATCATCCGCTACGACTACCTGATCATCTGCGAAAAATAAAGTTGTTAGACATTTACCATCGCCTATGTCTATTCCCATTCCAGATACTTGTTTCCTCCACTGCTCTAGCGATGATTGAATATATATTTTAAATAAGGTCGGAGATAGACAACATCCTTGTTTAAGCCCCTTTGTTATTGGACAGGATTCAGATATAAAGTTTGCTTCTTTAACAACACTTTTTGCATTTTTGTATATATTTGCGATAGCATCCACATAATCTCTATTGAGACCTACTTTCGTCAATGTTTGAAATAGTTTTTTTCAAAGGTACCGTATCGTATGCCTTCTCTTAATCTACAAACGGTGAATCTTACTTGCCTTTCTCTCTTTAATTTTAGCATTCCTAAACTTCTCATCTTGCACAACATTATATACTTCTGCTCTTACTTCTTTCGAAGTCTCTAACAAGACGATATAGATTATGTAGTTGATGGTAAACAAAACCAAGCTTTAGGTGTACACCTAAAGGTACGTTTTTACTGGGGCATCGGTTGCGATCATCGTTGAGTGATCGTCGCTGAGCAATGATCGCAAGCGGAGTGTTTTTACTGAAGCGATGATTTGATTAGTGAGTTATCCGTTGTCTAGTGAACAAGTGGTTTTGTTATAGCGATGGGAATATAAAAAAGAAAACAATTATTATGAAATAACTGCTAGCAGAAGAAATAGAGAATAAAGAAATGTTAAGTTTTCAAAGATTAGAAAAATGCAATATTTAAAAGGAAAC